GTGTTGTGTGTGTGTTTGCAGAGCTCCTGCCGTACTGGGGGTCGAGGGATGAGATATTTGGTATGAGGAGATGGTCAGCCAGCACACACCCTGGTCGTACGGATGTTGGCTCAGTGTGCCCAGGTGCTGTCTGCTGTCTGAGCGCTGGTAGCAGCTCCTCACAGCGGTGCCTACACTCAGCGGCCAAACTGTAGCGAGCCGGGAGAAACACTTGGGAGCAGTTTGGGATCGGTGCAAGAGTGTGTGTAAATTATTCTTTCCAAGTTCCTGAGTTGTTACTAAATCTGCAGCACTTGGTGACACTTGGTTTGTCCTGCAATGCAATTTCAGCACAGAATCCCAGAATGGTTGAGGTTGGAGGAGGCCTCTAGAGATCATCTAGTCCAACCCCCCTGCTCAAGCAGGGACACCCAGAGCACGTGGCACAGGGTGGGATCCAGGCGGGTTTGGAAGATCTCCACAACCTCTCTGGGCAGCCTGTTCCAGTGCTCTATCACCCTTCAGCACCTAATTAAATATTTTTGACCTGTCTTGCTGTTCCTGTTCACAGATGTAGTTTGCACATCTTGTGAATCTCCTTTGAAACATGCTGATGGACAAATGTATTGAAATTCATTAGCTTGAATGAAATTTTTTTTCTCTATAGATGACAATCAAAACAAAACCAATGAAAAGAAGGAGAAAAAAATGGTTTCCCAGAAACCCCATGGCACCATAGAATACACTGTAAGTATTGGTGTGTAGTTTGGTCACTTCTGCTTTTCAAAAGTGAAGTTGTTGAGGTTGGTAGCCAAAATGACACAAATGAGTGAATGTTCACTGTAATTTGTGTGTATCTTGGTAGAGATTGCTCCAGATGTCCTTGCATGAGGAGAGTTAGGCTGAAATCCAGAACCACTAGTCAGCCTGGGTGTTCTGCTTATCCTCACAATTGCTTGTCCTATTTTTACTTGTGCCACATGGCCCGTTAATAGACTAATTGCTCCCCTCCACCCCCATCCCGCCACCCAAGGAAGACTCCTATTCCATAGCGTTGCTTAGGACAGCTGTTCTTTGCTCTGTGGTGACCCCTGACATGGTTGTCACCTTCTCTAAACGAAAACGCCCCGGGCAGATATTGACCCCGCGTCTCGAAGGACTGTCTCCGTGCAGAGTCACTCCGGTGGTGTCCCAAGCCCCTGCAGAGCCGTTGTTCCTCGCACTCCTCCACGCAGTGCCAGTGTAAAGGGCTGGTCTCCTAGCTGGGAGCAAAGCAAATGGGTGGCTTGACATGACGGGGACCGATGAAGGGGCACTGAACTCTCCCACATAGGTGTCCTTTCCCTGCTTGCCATGCCAGTTCAAATTAAGGTGGTGCTGTGTTAAAGGGATATTGCAGCTCAGTTTTATAGCGAAGTGAGAGGGAAATCTTTAACCCATTTGTGCTTTATTTACTGTATAGCATGAGAGATTTTTTTTTTTCCTTGATATTGACTTACCACACATTTTCTATGGAAAAATAAGTCTACTAAACAGGAGATGAGTTATCTTATCAAATCTATTGTCTGAAAACTGTCCACTAGATGGTTTTAGTTCAGCTATTGTGCTATATACAATCACTACTATATCTTAATCTTCAACTCTTTTTCAGGCCGGAAATCAGGACACTATAAACAGCATAGCATTAAAGTTTAACATCACCCCAAACAAGCTTGTGGAACTCAATAAACTTTTTACGCACACGATTGTTCCAGGACAGGTAAATCTTTTATAGATTTTAATACCTAAAACCTGATTATTTGCTCTGTATCTAAAGACATTTACTGCTTTCACATATCTTCAGGTACACGGATACAAGGGGAATGGACAGTAATTTAAATCTCTCAAATGGAAACTCACTCAGTCCTTCTCTGGGTGGAGGTGGAGTGGGGAGGTGGAATGGGACTTTGTAATTGCTCTGGCTGATTTTTGTTATTTATTTGCTGTCACAAAAGCCTTAAGATTACTCAGAAGCTCAAGAGGAATGTATCTGTTGCAAGAGAGCTGCTTTTTTGAAAAGCCTAGATAAATGCTGCGTAATGCATTAAAGGGTTAGAGACAGTAATTGAAATGTCTCTTTGGCTTTTATATTAGAGATGAGTCAGTCTCCTGGAAGATGAGAACAGATGGATACACGATGGGCTCTTGGAGAGATTCAAGTAATGGAAATGGAAATAGAAATAGGAGGGCTAGCACCCCAGTTATAATAAAGAGCAGATCTCTACTGCTGCTCTGTAGATGGGAAGAGGCTGAAGTTTGCTGGTTTGCAGGTGGGGAGGCTGAGCTGGGGTGGCCTGCCTAAGGTCATGCAGGAGGCAAAGGCTGGGATAAGGCTGGCCTGTGTTTCTTTCAATGTGTTTAATTTAAAACAAACTGTCTTTTTTTGTTGTTTGTTTGTTTTCTTAAATCTTAGGAACATTTTCTTTGAGATATTCAAAGCTGTACTGCAGTTGAAAAACTGGGACATACACTGTTACAGATTATAAAAAGTCAAAGCATTATATTTTTGTATGAATCCATTTGTACTAGTGTAAGTGCTTCTTTAAGTGAAGCACAAAATGCTAAAATACTGTATTTTGGAAACAGATAGCCTGGAGTGAAGCAGTGAAGCTGCTAACACTAAAAATCCTCCCTGTTCGAGAAGAGTGGTCTCCTTCTTCTCTCTCTTTCTCGCTCTTTCATTCTCTCTTTCTTGCTCTTTCATTCTCTCTTTCTCGCTCTTTCATTCTCTCTTTCTCGCTCCCTCTCTTTTTCTCACTCTCTTGGTCTCTTTCGCTCTCTCTCGCTCTGTTTCTTTTTTTCTGTTATGAGCTAGTGAAAGTTAGTACAGAAGCTTGGAATGTAACCTAGGAAAAAAGGAGGTTCTTGCCCTGGGGAAAATATTTTGTTTTCTTGCCTATGCTGCCACACAAAATGTAGCACTAAATGCTGTAATGAGATCTGCATTTGCTCCACCACTAGTGAAGGAGGACTCTAGGGTAAGAAGCTGCTGAAGAATGATTTGCAGTCATGAGCGATGGGTGTTGGGTTGTCTTATGTAGTGGAACGTGGGTGTTTGACTTTTTTCAACTTAAGGTTTTTTTTTTTTTTTTTCCTTTTTTTAAGATTCTCTTTGTGCCAGAAACAAGTGCTGGAAGGCTGTCTTTCAGCCCTGGTGCTCCTGTTTCTCCTTCGTCATCAGATGCTGAATATGATAAACTGCCTGTAAGTGAAGCATTGGTTCACTGGTCTTAGGCGTTCAAAATAATTTTACTCTGATTTTGAAGCTGTGATTCTGGGCTGTGTGAATAGCTTGTTTTGAGATTACAATTCACGCTTCATGAGTAGTGTTTTTAATATTGACTAATATTAATTTTAATGTGCTGCATTGCCAGATTTGCCATTGCTTAAAATATTTGAAACAAAGGGGCTCTATCTGCTCTTGCAAACCTCGCTGAACCAGGCCCAGAGTGCACCAGAATTTTAAAAGATGCGGCATATTGTTTTTAACGCATAGAAAGTTAGACACACTGTGTATTTAGTGCTTCTCCCCGGAGATTTCTCCATAGAGAAATACGGAGTGTCCGTGGGAATGCGGAGCGCTGGTGCCTCGCTCGGTATCCTGCCCGCGCCGCCGAGCCGGGGGGGCCCTGCTCCATGCGGGGGTCTTTGGTGGGGATCCCGCGGTGGGACTGAACCTCACTTAGGTTAATACAAGTGCCTAACGGGACAACATTGTGCTGAGTTGCTTTAGGATTTCTGATTTTTATTTATTCGTTTATTGTATGTTGTTTTTATAGAGGATTTTTTGTAATGTTTCAAGTTTTTCTTCCATACAGGCTGTTGCATGAAGTGTGCATACATGACCGTAACTTTTTCTCCTTAAGCAAAAGGAAAACAATTGCTAGAGGTTGTTACTTTAGTTGCTCAAAATCTAAGAGTACGTGACACTGGTCTCCAACCCTGCACTGAGGTTTTCCTTTTTTAAGGATGCTGATTTGGCAAGAAAGGCCTTCAAACCAGTTGAGAGAGTCCTGTCCTCTACTTCAGAAGAGGATGAGCCTGTGGTTGTCAAGTTTTTAAAAATGAATTGTCGCTACTTCACAGATGGCAAGGTGGGTGAAACCTGGTCTTTTGGGCAATGTTGGAGAGCCTTTAAAAGCAAATCTGGTTTGGGAGAGAGAAGAGTAGCTGGGGAGCCAAACATATACCACATCTGCAAAAAATGTTAATGTTATGACAGCTTTATCAATACTATACTGGTAATATGCACTATTATTTTATTTGTTCATGTCTTGCTTCTGTTACACTAGCCGTTACAGAAGAATAGCCCTTTCTTCTGCCCGTCTTCATTCCCTTGGTGTCTTACTAGAAATATCCCCATCAGAGTGTTTTGCTAGATAATCCTTGCACAGAAAAAAATGCATGTCAGAGTTCAGACATGTCAGGATTAGTTGTCCAGTTCTGTCGAGTTGTGCAATGGTTTATAAAATGAGTACATTCCTATCTATTTCATGCATGAGTTTAACCTAAATTTAACTGTTCCAGAGCAATGTTTCCAAATACTTGCATGTTGTGCTTGCAAATGAATGTCACATAACCCCCAATGTAAATATTGCGTGATAATGGCTCCCTTTTCCCTTTTCCCTTTTCCCTTTTCCCTTTTCCCTTTTCCCTTTTCCCTTTTCCCTTTTCCCTTTTCCCTTTTCCCTTTTCCCTTTTCCCTTTTCCCTTTTCCCGTCCTCTTGCAAGTAATGTTTCCACTGGCATTGCAACCCTTAACTGGGGGCAACTTTATTAAAAAGTGAAGTCACGAAGCTTGGGCAACCTCCATCTCTTCTAAAGATCGCAGAGTTTGTCGTCTTGAACGGTGTACTTTTATACATCTACTCTTACTGATTCCCACTGGAGTTAGAAATTTGCATGTTTTCATTTTCAAGCTCTCTGGAATCTACAGCACTGGAAATGCTAACCACTGTCCTTCAAATATCTTCTCCATTATTTTTTTGTGATCTTGATCCTGAGAAAAATGCATTTACACTTAAAGTTTTTGGCCGCTTTTGGCATTGAGTGGGCGCAGACTTCATTTAAAGCCACTCTGCAGTGTTGATAATCTGCTATTTTGTAAAACATAACAGAGTAACACTTGATTTCCCACACATGAATTACAGCAGCCCTGATGCTTTGTTAGGTGATGTTTGCTAAGTGCAGAAGACGGAGGGTCAGTTTTATTCCTTCAGGACAGAAGGATCCTGACAGTGCAATCCTGACAGTGAGAAGTGGGACACCTTCCTTTCCTGTGTACCTAGAACCCATGTTACTTTTATTCTTTTTTGTGACTGGATAGAAAGCACAACCTACTCATGTTCTGTTATCCTGCCTAAACCAAGTGTGAACCTGTGGGTAAGGTCTCTGCAGTTTAACTGGGTTTTTTCATCCAAATACAAATGTGCTACGCATACAGGAGTCGTACGGGAAGAAGCATGTGGGAAGTACATGCACACGTGGCTTTATAAAAGAGCTTTTTTTTTTCTCCCAGATAAAAGCCTCATGGTCATATTGCTGCCTATATCTTAGTCTCCTTCTGCGTGTCTTGCAGATGACCTTGAGTGGTGAATATTAGTGTGATTGGCCAGTATAGGCCGATCTTGTTAACCTATGACTCCTATATGTCAGATCTTATGGTAACTATACAGCTTCTGGGTTGGTTTGGTGAATTTTGCACCACATCTCGGGGAAGAGAAGGTGCAGGAACAACAAATTAGAAACCTTGTTTGAAAACCTTCAAACACTGAGAGGTCACAAGCTGAAGTCATGTTGAGTAACAGGTGATGCTTCCTCTGATCAAACACATGGCTAGAGCAAATTTTGAAGAATTAAATGCAACCTCTGCAGCTGTGTATAATATTTTTGGATCGTTAGTGCCAGAGAAGCAGCCTAATATTAGGTAAAATACTATAGAAATGCTTTTTGCCCGTACCTCTTGAAAACTAGATTAAAGGGATGTGCAATTTAGGTTAGGATTATGACCTAACCTGCCATTCCCACAAATATGGCTGCCGCCAAGTGTGTCATAGGCGTAAGAATTAGCACATTATATGAAGCTGGCTGTAGCCAGAGTAATTTTTTTTTTTAAAACCCATACTTCTATCTTGTCTGAGGTCGATTAATAAACTGAAGGTTTAGTTTTTAACAGCCAACACTGAAAGCTGAATAGCTCAGGTGTTCTTCCTCTGTCCTTTTTGTACGTAGTGACTCAGGGAGTCACTAAGAAATCTTTCTTCACTCTTCTTGCTACGTCTTACCTGATGCAATTGGAAACCAAAATGTTTCATTAGGAAGCACTGCCTCACTGGGGTTGAAAAAGGCAGAGAGATTTTTCTAGGCTAGTAGCCTAAAAGCCAATACCAAATGATAAATGGATTATATGTGATGTGCTAACTCTTGTGTCTTCTATTTTAGGGTGTAGTTGGAGGAGTCATGATAGTAACTCCAAACAACATCATGTTTGACCCGCATAAGTCAGATCCTCTGGTCATTGAGAATGGCTGTGAAGAATACGGGCTCATCTGCCCCATGGAGGAGGTTGTCTCTATAGCTCTCTACAATGATATTTCTCACATGAAGATTAAAGATGCATTGCCATCGTAAGGAGTGTGCTTTTCTGAACTTGTATTTACAAATTATAATTAAGAGAGAGGGAAATGGGGAAAAAAAAGAATGAGGTTTAATACAGGAGGATAAAACATGTCAGAGGAAGAACATGCAAGCAAAGAAATGATGGAATACTGATGCTGTTCTTCCTCCTTTAAAAAAAAAAAACTGTGGCAGTAAAAGAGAATTATGTCATTAACAAGAAATGCAAAGTGTGGAGACGACCAGTAAAAATTAGTGATTAAAAACACTGGTAGCATGCCAAGGTTAAGCTTGTGTACTTTCTGATCTCTAGGATTATTTCATGGAGAAGTTCTGCTGAAACTTTCATAGTTTCAGTGGAAATGAAAACTATTAGATTTGGACCCTGGTTTGTGCTATTGGGACAGTACTGGGAGCGGTATTAAAAGGTTTGAATGTAACAGCAGGTAATTGCTATTTTCAGGACTCACAGAAATATCAGTCTCTAGACTGTGGTTTTTGGTTATTGAATTTCTGATGATTTGCCCATTGTTCTTACATATGTACCATTTCTTCACCTGGATGGCAAACTCTGCAGAATGGCACTTCCTACATTTTTATCTGTTGTTTGGTTTTTGTTTTCTTTTTAAATGTCACTTATTTCCATCGCTGTATGTTTATTTTGGAGAAAATATTTTTAGTTGAGTTTTCAGAGCTTAAGTTGATATATTATTTATTTTTGTTTTCCATTTTGTTTGCTTTCCATTTTGCTTTTAACATCCCATGTACATCCACATTTTCCCTGACAGTGACATACCAAAGGATCTTTGTCCTCTGTACAGGCCAGGAGAATGGGAAGACCTTTCTTCTGAAAAAGATATCAATCCTTTCAGCAAATTCAAATCCCTTAGCAAGGAGAAGAGGCAGCAGAATGGCGTTTCATCCACTGCTCTGGGTGCCAAACAAATAAAGCCTTCAGATACAGAAAAGTCTGCTGATTTTGAAGTTCTTCAGTCTTCTGAGAGTACAGTTTCAATCAAATCAAAATCATTGGAGTTTTCCAACAACATCACTGCCACTGAGCATCTGGAAAAGTCTGCTGCAGAGCCACATGCCAAGGAGCTTTCTGGGGAGAAGAACGTGTCAGACCTCAAAACCAAAGAGAACTCCCTCCTGGGAGGAGGAGAGGGCGATTTCATTGAACTGGAGGAGACGTCCTCTTGTATGGACAGAGGGTTGAACAGCAAAGGCTCAGTGATGGAGGGCTTTCTGGCTGACCCCAGGGAGCTGGGGAGAACGAAGCAGCAGGTAACCAAACCCACTGCAGAAGTCCAGGAGCGCTTGACAGTTGATTCCTTGGAAAAAAAGGACAGTATTGAACCCAAAGCTGACTTAGACTTAGAGCTGTGTGAAAAGCAAGATGTTATTCCAGAAGTAAACAAATGTGTCAGTTCCCCAACAGGTAAGGTGGAGACTGCATTGGACACTAAGAAAGAGCTAGAGAAAGATAAACTTATTGAATTTTACCTCAATAAAGATGGGAATGGGTCTCAGTCATCTGAAGACTTGCACAAGGCTGAAATCCAGAAAGGTGAAAACAATAAAGCAATTGGCATAGACCTTACACTTAGCAGTTCAAAGTCCCAAGCTAATGAAGTCCATACAGTTAAAAGTATGGAGCTTGAATCCCGCTATTTTGAAAGGAAAGCACCTTCATTAGAAATCAGCTCAGCAGCAGCAGAGAAAAAGGATCTGAAAGAGTCTGTGGACTCTTCGTTAGTACCAGCTGTAGACAAGACCTGTCAAGAAGCACAGTTAGACAATCAATCAGAAATCAGACTGTGGCTGCTGCAGAAAATTCAAGTGCCAATTGAAGGTAGGTCTCTGGTTATCCTTGTTTTCTCTGAGAGCTGGCCAAGTTGTGATGGTAACTGCTGAATTGATCCTTATGCTCTGAATTTCGTCTTTCTGTGATATATGCTCCTTTTTTTTACTCTGGTAAAAATACGTATATTTATATAAACTCTCTATTTATTCTTATATTTTCCTCTATTTAGAAGAAAAATCTTCATCTCCTAAGCTTCTATTTTGACAAACAGCTTGTCTGCTCTGTATTTAGCTATTACTGTTCACACATACTTTCTCTGTGCGCTGCTTTTAAGAAGGACAATAAAATGTCATCCAGTCATGGTATTGATGGGAACGTACAACCTAGGAACTTTTACTCTGTGTTGGTAGATTCTGTTCCCTCCGTGAAGGCAGTCTGTTTATTTCTGAGAGTTGAAATCCCAAGTAGTACACTGCTGTAAAGGGAAGTCCAAGGTATTCCTACCTACATTTTTGTGCTGTGGGTATTGCCAAAGAAGCAGTAAATAGGCTTATATGTAGAGTCTTACCT